CTGATATGCTAGGCAGTATGTGACTTATGTGTTTATGTACTAGGAGATTACATGGTAGGAGTAGGGGGTGAAATAGTCCCCAGTATCGGTCGAAAGGACCGAAGGGGTAGGCCAGCACCCTGATATGCTAGACAAGTAACCGGTTGAAAGAGACCGAAGGGGTAGGCCAGCACCTTGATATGCTAGGCAAGTTAACGGTTGAAAGAGACCGAAGAGGTAGGCCAGTACCCGGACATGTTAGACAATATGTTTATTGTATGGTATGTGGTATGATGTGGGAACTCACTAAGCTTTGTGCTTACGATTTTCAGTTTTTGTTTCAAGTTCTTCTTCTTTGAAGGGAAAGGAGCCGACACGATAGCAGCGCATCACACCACGATTTTCCGCACTATGATGTTCTTGGGATTTGTATACTGACATTATTATATTATGACATGTTTTGAGACATATTACTTATGGTTTTTTATGATATGAGATAACTTCATGATGTTTTCAATAATCTGTTTTATGAAATTATTAAATTAAAAATGAATTTTTTGGTCGTAAATTTTGGGATGTTACACCATGGTTCTTCATGGCCTGGAGACAAGGTTGAAGTGTTCATTACTTTATATTTAACTAGTTAGTTATATTCCAAGTACATGATTATTCAAAGTGACCAAACATTTGTACATAACTTCTAAATTCATACTATATGAATTATGACTAGTTTTATTCTTTATTATTATTATTTTCTAGAAATAATAATTTCCAATATATTGGTAAAATACTATTTTCATAAAATAATGTTTTTCCAAATAAATACAAGTGTTGATAATATTTATTAATAATTAAATTATACTAATAAATAATTAATAAGTAGTAACTTGGTATAAGGTGTGACCCAATATGATCATATGTCATTTACAATATCATTCTATAATGACTATTGGGCATATAAGATCTTTCAGTAGTAGCATCCATCGAACTTACTCGGCTTCGTATCTGTTTTACTAAACAAATATTTCAAAGTAGAATGGTCGGTGAAAACGATAGTTTTGTACAATATTAGATATGGGCGGAACTTATCAAAAGCATATACGATGGCAAATAAAATTTTTATTTTTATTTTTATTTTATTTTTGTCGTCGTGTAATTCTCTTGAACAGGATTGAGTGTTTCGCTAGTTTAAAAGATTGTTTGAAAACGGTTTTCAACCTTTTACCCTAAGACGACTCCTAAAGCATAGCCACTCGTGTCGCACATCAACTCAAATGGCAAGTTCCAATTCGGGGCAATCATGATCGGGGGCGGTGATTAACTTTTCTTTTAACAATTTAAAAGTATTTAAACAATCATTTGAAAAACCAAAGTTAGACTCTTTTAAAAATAATTGAGCCAAATGACGTGTAATTTTCGAAAAAATCTTTAATAAAACGGCGGTAAAAACCCACATGTGCAAAGAAACTCTGCACTCTTTTTCACGTTTGATGGATGTGACAATTTGGAAATCGTGTCGAAAAATCTTTATATGAAAGTGTTGATGAAACACAACAAAATTCCCAACCACCAAAATAAAATTAAGATGGTTAGAAAATATGTTAAAACTCAGTCATTACTCCTAAATATGGGTCTGGGTCAAGCCTCATATGATTATTATTTTAGATTAATGATTTGTTTGATCTTTAATATTTTCTTATTTTTAGAACTCCACGAGCTAGGCATGATCTATCAAAGATTTTTTACTTCTATATTTATTAAATTGTATTTGTTTTTTCATAGTCACAACAAGCTACTCAGTTAACTTCGTCTCTATCGGCGATAAAATCTAAAGTGGTATGTATGTATAGAGGTCAGTCAACACAATATTGATTACAACGCTCTGTTGTACTTTATTTCATGGTTTAAAGAGTTGCGATACCTCTTGCACAACTTAAATATCCTTTTACCGACACCAGAAGTCGATGACATTCGATAATCAGTGATCCGATGTATGCCACTACAATTGATTACTATGTCGAATGATATAAAAAAGTTCAAGCAATTTAACGGACTCCTGGTATAAACCTAAACTACGTCAATATTTTAAGCAAGACTTGAATCTCTGATCACTTAGATGATATATATATATATATATATATATATATATATATATATATATATATATATATATATATATATATATATATATTGAGTTTTTCCAACTTTTGTCTTTTGGTTGTAAATTAGATAGTTTCGAAGTAACATCTGCTTACTATTTTTCCGACAAAAAAAATCGATAATATAGAGGTTTTAAATAGATAGCGATTTTTTTTTTTTTTTTTTTTGGATCATTTCTTTTGATTTTTGAAAATTTAATTTTTTATTTGATGTATTTTTATAATTTTTTTGATGCTCTTGTTGGCACATTCACCAGCGAAGGCAGCAACCGAACACACATAGACAATGGAACCAAAAGAAGCAACGACTTCAGAAACCCTAGATCACAATCATCAGATTTCTCAAGAACACAACGAAGACCCTCACCACGACCTTGATGGTAACATCGATACAAGTACAAGAGAAATGGAGGATACGTTTTTCTCGTCGACTTCTTCGCCAATCAGTCAAAAGGAGATTGTAAGAGCAGTGGAAGTGGTAGAGAGGGATTCCCTCGCCATTGCCGATAGCTTTTCATCTCTATTCGCATCTCTCCGAATTGCTCTCTCCGAGGTAATCGAATTTCACATTTTGAAGCTTAACCATAGTAATCAAATTGAGCTGAAGCTACATATCAGCATATAAACCCTAAAGTTCAATCAATTTAGTGTAACCGGAATCGATTTCCTATACATACTTTTATGGATTGTTATCCGTATCTCGCAAATTTTCAAAGCTTATGACAACAACGATGGAAAAAGTCACAAATCTGTTTAGTTTGCATCTATCAATGTATGATGCGAGTCTGGAGGGGATGTGTATTTTTACCATGGGAAATTGCAATGATAAACTCACTCCAGATTGATCATAGCAGATTTTAAAAAGATCACAAACATTGATATGTGCTCTTCATTGCATTGTAGATAGATCATATAAGTTCATCCATTGAAACTGTTTGTGTATGTTGTAGGTTAGCAGCCGTTCTGTTGATCATGTACAATGCTTCAGTGATGCTGCTGGGCGTCTTCAAGAATCTGGTACATAACAAAATCTTCCATTGATCTTCGTATGCACAATGTGCTATTAGATAAAGCAATATGGTAGAATACATATTTTTCACAGAGCCCTTAAATAACCTCAAAAGATACTTAATGATTCTTGCATAGCTATATCCAGTCTTTTTGATAGATAAACATAAATTTTACTTTTTCTTCAGTCACCAGTAAAGTTTAACAAGAATTTTGTTCAAAATTTTATCAGCATTGGATACTGCAACAAAGGGGAATCTGTACATAAACTCATGTCTCAGGTATATAAATCCATTTTCATGGTTTTGTTATTCTTTTATATTATAACACAAATTAAGGATGTTTATAACTTTATATGGTTGATGAATCCACTAACTTTTACATTTTGCAGATTGAATGAGGAAATGAGAGGCATTGACACCCTAGCAATGCAACTGTATCCTTTATTCTCATGATTTTTGTGTTTTTAAGTTTCATGATTTGCTCAAATGTGATTATGATGATATAACAATTAACAAGGTTTTCTTAACAATTGAAAAGAAAGGTGTTGCGTAGGAACGTTGATGCTTTGGATACTGCTGTGAACACCCTTGTTCGTTTTCCTTGATGTATTATTATATATATATTAATTACCAAATTGGTGATGTGAGAGCTTTTACTATTCATTTCATTTTACTATGTATAGAGTCAAAATGTCTAAAATCAAATTAAGTTACATATTTTGATGCATTTAAGACAAAATATAAAATAAGTCTTTTGAAAATAGAGATTTAGTATTTGGCCATAGCAAATTATATATATATATATATATATATATATATATATATATATATATATATATTAATTACCAAAATTGGTATTTGAGAGGATTCACTCTTCATTACTTTCAATTCTTTTTTCATTTTCCTCCCTTTACTTTTATTTGTTTTTATATTTTGTACCCCTAAACTAATTTTGATGTAACAATTTTTATCCTTATAATTTTAAAATTTATATATATTTATATTCTTTCTTCTTAATTAATTTTTATTTAACAGTTTTCAACCCTTATAATTTTAAAGTTAAATTATTAGTATTTTATACATTATAATTTGGTCCCTTACTATATTTTAAAGTTACATTTTGACCCCTTATATAATTTTTTAATAATCTTTTTTTTTTATTAATTTCTTAAAGATACACTTTCAAGTCAATTGTTTGTATCCATGTTTTATTTTGATATTTTTGTGTTCCACTTTATATGATTTAATCGTCTTCATTCGTTGTATATATGGTGTCAAATTGCGTTTTTTAACATACCGGAGCTTCCGCCGCAATGCGTGGATGGTCCAAACCCTAGTTATTATTATTATTTAACTGAGGTTTTTATTGATTTGAATACATTTTGTCCATTAATATTAATTGTTATATACTCTGGTAAAATATCATACTAATTAATAAAATATTTTGGTTTTAAAATATCAAGAATATGTTTTTTGATGTGATATTATACAAGAGTCATTGCTAAATGCTAATTATCTGATTATCTCACATAAAAGTAAGCCATATCTCAAAGAAAGAACAATTAGAAAAAAGGATTATAACTTATAAAACACAAAGACAACCACAAAATGTCAAACACATTGCCATATGCAAAATTCACCACCTACATAGTTGCCACCCTCCAAAAACCTTTACCAATTTCACATAATTAAATTAAATCCCCAACACGTTGACCCAAACAAAGTCAAACCCCACAAATTCATTCCCATTCAAATTGTGGATGGAGGCTTCGATGTAATATCCAAACAAACCCGGTTCACCCCACGAACACTATTACATATCTTTCTCGACACATCATCCAAAAACTTATGCTCAAAAATAATACCTGAAACAAATTTCATAATAAAGATTATATACATGTTTTAACAAGACACGTGGCAAAAGATTATATACAGATAAAGTGATCTGTCTCACCAATCAGCAGTCATGCCATCTTGACTTGTAACAGCTCGAAGTGCAACAGCATTAGAATGAGTCCTCTGATCTCCTTGAACACCTGTCGTTTTAATGGGTAAAAACACAGCAAAAGCCTGCCATATTTCATCATAAATCCCACCCTCTTTAATCGCTTGGATAAATATCTCATCAACCTGCCGAAGAATCTCCAGTGCATTTCCTTGGGTCACATCACCCGGTATCCGTACAGCAAGACCCGGTCCAGGAAACGGGTGTCTCTTCAAGAACGCAACTGGAACATCCAAGATCCGACCCAACTCCCGAACCTTTTCACATTTCACAAATGAAAAAAAAATCAAGAAAATTACATAACAGGTCCTTCCAAATTGTAGAAGATACAATTAGTAAATTACAAACCTCGTCCTTGAAGAGAAGCTTAAGTGGTTCAATGAGCTTTAGCTTCATGTCTTTTGGAAGCCCACCCACGTTATGATGGCTCTTGATTGTGTGAGAATGAGTTCTTCCACTTCCGGGTGGTGGGCATGATTCGATTACATCTGGATATAAAGTTCCTTGAACCAAATAACTAGGTTTTGTTCCTAGTTTTTTCTCTAAATCATGAGCAAAAGCATCGAAGATTGAGATGAACTCTTTTCCGATGATCTTTCTTTTCTTTTCAGGATCTGTAACGCCTTTCAATTCGCTTAGAAATTGCACTGAAGCATCAACGCAAGTAACAGGAAGATGAAGATCTCTTTCGAAGGTTCCCATCACTCTTTCTTGCTCCTTGTATCTATTAAAAAAACACAGAATATCATGACACAGATCATGAGAATGTGGTCATAGTCAAAATCTTACCTTAATAGACCATTGTCAACGAAGATACAGTGGAGTCTATCGCCGATGGCTTTGTGAACAAGAGTAGCTGCAACTGTAGAGTCGACACCACCGGATAATGCACAGATTACATGGTCATCAGGTCCGACCATGCCTTTGATTACTTTTATTTCTTCCTCCATTACATCTTCCATTTTCCAGCCAGCGGAGACATCACAGATATCGAAAAGGAAATGGCGCAACAATTCCATTCCCTCCGGTGAATGTGTCACCTAAATCGATATGAGAATGAGCAATTTTAGACAAAAAAAAAAAGTTCGGAAGAATAAACGAGCGATTTAATCTACCTCGGGGTGGTACTGCAGCCCATAAAACCGTCTGCCGGGATTCGCGACAGCCGCTACACCGCCTTGTTCGCTCCTGGCGACCACTTCGAATCCAGCAGGAAGCTTCACAGCCTCATCGCCATGGCTCATCCAAACCACCTGCTTATCACCGATGTTTTTACCCTTGAACAATCCACCATAATCTTTCACGACCTCAATCGTCATCCTCCCATACTCCTGCTTTTCCCCAATCGCTACTTGCCCACCCAATTTCTGCACAATCAACTGAAACCCGTAACAAATCCCCAACACAAAGATGCCCGTTTTTTCAACATACTCTACAAAGCCATCGGGGAAACAAGGGGCGTCCTGTGCATGGACGGAATGGGGGCCGCCGGAGAGGATGATTACAGATGGGTTTAAATCAGTGATGGATTTGAGTGAGGAAGTGCCGGAAATACAGAGGGAGAACACGGATAGGCTTCGGATTCGCCGAGTGATTAGGTGGGTGTACTGAGAACCATAATCTAGGATAAGAACCAGGTTTGATTTCACAGCTTGGGCCTCCATTGATGGGAAATTTCTTTGATAAGATTGAGGCAATTGAGAAAAGGGGGACGAGGGTTTAAAGGAAGTAGGCTAGGGTTTTTGATAGTTGGCGGGAAGCGAATGCCCTAATAACAGATGTTGAAGCGTTTCCATATTAGCGAAAATTGCACTTTACACCCTTCAACCTTTTTTGCCATTTATTTATTTGAAATAATTATAAATAATTCATTTATTTTCTGGGGGATTATATAAACTATAACATTATCAATGTTGATAAGGTTACTTCACAAAGCACATTGTATAGGGTTGAAAAGGCAAGCTTCATCCCTTCTTTTCTATGGAGATGAAATGGGGTTGAAAAGGCATGCTTCATCCCTTCTTCTCTATCCCTCCATACATCCCTTCTTCTCTCCCACCCACCGTATATTTTTGGTTGTTTGAGTTTTCTGAATTAGGGTTCATTGTAGGTTTACTAATTGTTTCTACTTAATTGTCATACGAGTTGCTATGTTATCGTTGGAGAAGTTTCTATACGTAAGCATAAAAATCCTCTTATTTTCTTGAGCGTCTTGGTAAATATTATTATTTTGGCTCTTTGGTTTTCGATCCAAGGTTTACCCTTTCTTTCTTTATCATGGTTCTATCAACCGGTGTCAAAGATATAGTAAAAAGAGAAAGTATTATGTTTATAGCAATGCACTTTTAACAAAAAAAATATTACGCAAATCCACGCCGCAATATGTGGCTTAAAACTATTGTTTATAAAAATGGTCATTTTCTTGTTTATATCAACAAAAAAGACCAAGCTTTTTAGGTGTTTAAAAAATAATCACTTAATCGAATGCGGACTTAAGGGTTATACACAATTTTTTAGGGGTTGCATTGAACAAAATTTACACTACGCCGAATTTTTTTTTAAAAGATTACCCATTTAAGTGATCCTTTGTATAAAGGGTGGTCTACCATCAATCGAAATGCTATTTCTTTCCAAAAACCCTAAAAAAATCTGAAAGACAAGGTTTCAATTTGTTTTCGAATAGAAGAAGCGTGGGATTTGGAGACCCATATTAGTTTCATGTTTTTTATTACGCTATAATCTTAATATGTTAAAAACGACTGTCTGGATGTGATAAAATGATTTCGAAATACGATGAACACTTCCAGGATGTTTCATATTTAATGGCTCAATTTTTTCCTTTATTTATATTGTTATGTTCACTAGCAGGCCTTGTGACAACCTGTAAATAACTTAAATTAGTGAACGTAACCAAAAAAATCATTCATGGAAGAGAGTCCCTAGTTTGGAATCCAAACAATACTTTGTAATTAACTATTCAATATATGTAGTTAGGTTTTATTGATTGTTGTTTATTATAGCGTTAAGTGTTCTATTATTTTTACATAAGTATGAGTGATTTTCAAAAAACAATTTTTGCCGAACCAATCCAAAATAAAAAGTAATATTTCAAATCAGTCTGAAAAGTGCATCCGGTTAATTTACATGATTGCTGCTAAAAAAAATGGATTTTACATATGAGGAGATAACAATGCACCTACTTGGAGTGATTGTTATTGTGATATAGTTAATTGAAAATTGGATGAAATTGTTTAAAGTTCACGTAGAAAGCGTTCAGTTGGAAGTTACACTAGTCCCAAACACAAATTTTTATGTTATACTCATTATTATGTAGTATTTTGATCACTAATATTTAACTTTTTATGATTTTTCACGAATGTCAATAGTTTTCATTTTATACCTAAATAATATAAAAATCTTAAAACCCTACTACGGTAACATTAAACTGATTTATGGTAAAATCATGACATGATTAATCTTAAATAGTGTCATAATAACCAAAACGGTGAAAGCCACAAAAATCAAAATCTTGGTTATAAACATCATATTGTTATTGTGTGCTTCAAATGACATTTACACATTGGATTAATGCGGATGCTACTAGGTCACCTTGATTAACTGTTTGCATTTCAATGATATTTATGTACTAATTGTTAGGTAGTTCTTATCATATCAATTAAAATACCAATAATCTACATACTTATTTAAAAAAATACGGGCAATCGAAATAACAACTATATGGGTTTTTGTCACTTCAAGATAATGCAAGCTTAGCTTTAATATCACATTGTCATATATAAAATGATTAATTTATTTTTTTATGTACGTTATTTTGAGAGCGTGACACACTTGAACGAGAGTGAATATTCATTATTTATCTTACCATGCAACTAGAATAGACATTCCAAAATCCATAATGTATTGTTAATTGACATATGGTCGGTCCAAAATGTGCTCCTTTTATTTTACAATGTAAGAAATTTATAAGAGAGTCAGCAGTACATATACAATAAAAACTTTTAAAATAAAATTACTAAATTTTTGTACACACGTCAAAATATGTAACAAGCACATTTTTTTTTCGGGATTAATAAATATTGTCTAATTTGAATAACATCCTCAAGAATGTCCCATGTGTTCTGTTCAGACATAAACATGTAAATCTTTCTATCCAAACTACTAATCCACTTTTTTGCCGCTTTAATTTTTATTATTATTATATGTTACTCGTTTTAGCTTTTATTTCATCTCTAATAAGAGAAAGTGTACATGTTTGAGTCCATAATGTACATCTTGCCAGAAATTAGAACATATTTTATTGACAAAAGTAACAATAAAGAATTAAGTAATTATTCGAAATGTCCAATTATTCATAGATTTGGGAAAATCATCACACAGTTCAAAAATCACATTCCGGTCTTTTTAAGATAAAAAGACCGGAATGTGATTTTTGAACTGTGTGATGATTTTCCCAAATCTATGAATAATTGGACATTTCGAATAATTATTTAATTCTTGATTGTTATTTTTGTCAATAAAATATGTTCTAATTTTTTAAATATTTCTTAAATTAAAAAATAAATGACAATAGCTTTATAATTTATTTTAGGATAAAATTTTATTTCAATTTAAATCAAATCCTTTTCTTTCAACTCTTTGGATACGACCATAACGATTCTTAACCATTAGACATATTTCTTGCAAGCAATCATTTCCATTTGTCTTTATCTTTTTAAACAGAATCAATCGATCAAGAAGACAAGATACAATCTTGACAAAAATGGACACCAAATCAAATATAAAATACAACCTTTCAATGCATTATTCAATGAATATCGCAACCCTATCATCTTTTTATACATACAAGTCTCATAAGTCATAATGATAATATGATATCCCACAAAAAATCTGCCAAAAAAACTATATAATATAACTAGAAATTTCTTCTATACGATAATTAATTAATATCCAGTAACAAAATACTTCAAACAGAAATGTCGGATATGGCTTCCATGATCAATACTTGTAGAGTTTCATCCACGACTTCAAACACAACATCATTTCCATCTGCCACGTGTACCCATTCTCCACCTTTCGCTATATCTCTCCTCACAAGATTATCTAGAGTACGTGGAATCATGAGTCGACCATTATGCCACTCAACTTGTTCCATAACCTCATTAACCACATCTTCTTCCAATGAAAAAGCACGAATCTTTGAGCTAACAAACATTATCCGCATATTTAAACCAATCAACACTTCCTTCACACAATCATGGACTAGTTTATGATCACACGTCAATTCTGAAGGGTAATCCGTCGCTAAAAAATCCTCCCAGTTTGACTCAGAAGCTTCATAGATTTCATTAACATATGCAGAAATCAACCCTCGATCCTCCATGAATGAACTTAAACTGGTTTTCTGATGCGATGGAGATGAAGTTTGTGAATGTTCTTCAAAATCCAGACAACGTGGTTGAATATGATGTTCAACTGATGATTCAATGGTGCTTGTAGGACTGCTGCTATTGTCTGCAAAAATCGATTCAAGAACAGATACTGGACTTGGATTCTCTCTGAATTGATCATTTTCCATGTTTTCCAATTTGAAATTAACTTTTGGTGAAGAAACATCCAATGTCATCTCCTGTAACAAAACATGCATGTAAGTTGATGCAAATCGGATGTAGAGGAAAAAAAAATTTAAAGTGTTTATTACACAATTTTCATCATTTTGGTTCATATTCAAGGAAAAAAGATGTTCAATTTACCATTTGTGATACTTCCATTGCACCAATGTTGTTAGGATCCGAATCCATTGTCAATAAACTTTTTTCAACACAAATGTCGTCAATTTCACGATAAAAAGTAGCAATTGACATGTGTATAGGAGATGACAAAAGTACCCTTTCCAATGTTCTTGATACTCTTTTACTTGAAGATGCCTCACCCTCACATTCACCCTTTACAACTTGCCTTAACCTCTCAGCAAGATGTCTTCTTGCTTCCACAAAAACATCCGGTTCTCCTTGCTTCAAAAAGGGTACCAATTGTAATTTCTCGGGTCTAGGGGCATTTTCGTCATTTTGACCAGGTTCACTACCCTTTCGGATGTTCTTCTTCTTCTTCTTCTTCACATTCTTTGTGTCCTTTAGCTTTTTTCTAACATCATTGAAGGACACACGATTGTGTTTGACTATTTGTTGGTTGCTTGTTGACTTGTGATGAGAGTGTAGATATGAGCACACGCATCCTACATCAACTGGAGATTCTATGACACGCTGACTAGGCGGCTTTAAAACCACAATGCTGTTGTAAATCGGGTTTTCTTTTTTCTTGTTTGGGTTTTCATATCGGGATTTTATCTTTTTCCAAAAAGATTTCTCTATGGTTGTTGTGTGATTTGAGGAACTTGTTTCTTCTTTTAGAGATTGTTTCTTCTTTGATTCAGTCTGAAGATAACAAAATTTGTTTTCAGAATCAAATATCGATAAGTTGTTTGATATCAAGAATAAAGGTTGAAGATGTGTACTCACATTGATGCTTCTGAGTTGTTCATCAAAGCTGAGCAGTTTCCGGTGGGGGCGGCCATGGTGGTGGTGGTGGTGGTCAAACATACCATTAAAACTCCAGATACAACCGGATTGATTTGGTTCAACTGTTGGAGGGCATTTTGGAGATTTTCGTGCCATTGATGATGAAAATGGATTATGATACCAATCAAGAAACTCAAATTACATATGAGATACTCACTTGATTAAAATGGAAACTAGATACATTCACCCTGCAACATTGAGTTAAACCAGTTAAGAAACTATAAGTTTTGAGTAGAATTCATACCAATTTGAGTTAAAAGATCTTGATTTTGTAAGTTGTAATCAAACCCATATCATTGTATGAATAAAGATTCCAGGAAATTGAAGTTCAACAGTATTTAGAACCAATTGGAGTAATAAGATCTTGATTTTTAGTTGATTAAAGAAATCCATGATCTGATAAATTGTAATTGGGATTGAGTGATGATAAAGGAAAGAGGGAAGAACACACATTTTCTCACAAAAAGAATAAAATATTAGGAAGAAAAAACCGACTTGATTTGCATATTTAAATCGAAAATCTTACAGAACAAGTTAATTAGAGTGAAAAATTTTGATTTTTGTCGATTCTAAAGAAACATATAACCTGAGAGACTGCACCTGTTTTATTGAGGTGTCGATTAAAAACAGATTAAACAAAATCAACTTCAGGAATTGTAAGAGTCGAATTGATTAAACAAAATTAACTTCAGAACTAATTAGAGTGAAAAATGGCGTTGATACTAAAAGAACACATGATAAGAAACTGTAATTGGGGTTGACTTGTAATAAAAGATGGGAAAAACACACTTCTTTCACCATAACTGTAAGAACCCAGTTGTTTCAGCAAAGTTAAATGGAAATTCTGATTAAATAAGTAAAAGCGCTAGAGCTAATTACAGCCAAACGCATGCTTCGGAAACTAGAATTGGATTGAATGAGAATCGAAAAGTTTGAACTGTGCGCAAAATGATAGAAAAATCTTAATTACCCCTGTAAGAATCGGTTCATGGAAGTGGAAGAGTCGATGGTTACCTTTTAAGAGTAATTGGGGTGGTGCTAATGATGAAGATAGAGAGGCGCTCTTGTTCAATGACCCTGTTGCTGAGGCTGAGCCATAGAAGATGGAAGAAATTTATGACTCAGGAGAGAGAGAAGAGGAAGAAACAAAGAGGAAAACTCCAAATTTTAAAGCTGAATATATTCTAATATGGGGGTATGATTTTCTTTTCTTCTATCGACCTTTTCAGTATGAATTTCCTTAATTACCCTTTTGTATATATATTTTTTAATTTCTGAAAAGTTATTAATGATTATACATAAATACTTTATTATCGTATACGTAAGAAGATTTTGTTCTTTAAATTTCAAGGTTTTTTTTTTTTTTTTTTTTTTTTTTTTTTTTTTTTTGGTAATTTCTTTTATCTAAGATATCTGCAAAATATTTATTTTGAAGTGTTTAATTTTACTGTTTTTAAGTTCATTGTTTTTCAATCGAATGTATGATTTTATGCTCTAATATCGTATATAGTTCGTTTGTTATTTTGTTTAACTTTTTGTTCGAATTTAGTAAACAAACGATTTTTTTTCTCAAAATTCTGAAATTGTTCATAAGATTTTGGATTTGTTTTTGAAATTCGATAATTAAGTTTTTTTTTCGAACTCCGAAATTTAGTCCAAAATCCGGAATGTCGGCTTGAAACGTATTTTCTTGTTAGAAATGTGTTTTTGTTTAGTCTGGAATACCGCATTCCAAAATTTGTGGTTAATTTGCCAAATACTTTTTTTTTTTGTTATTTTTTAGTTTAGCTAATATCACTTTTTTATTGTTAAAAGTTAAAACATAGTCATTACAAAATAATTTGGTCTATACAAATTTTGTAGTTTATAACGGTAAAGAACTTTAAATATTTAACTTAATAGTCGGCTTTCTATATTAACACATGCAGAACAAAATATGAAAATATTGTATTTCTTTAGATGCATACGTAGTGCTTGCTTGGTCCAACTTTACTTCTAAAGTGACTTTGTGATTCGTTGATATAATTTGTTTTCGAGTCTTTTGTTAATGGATTGTAACACCTGGTCCTTTTTCTTTTTTCGTTTGCATACATAACACAAGACACGTGTCCATTTAACTTGTATATCATGTAGTATATGATAAAAACAATAAGAATATAAAATGGTATAAATGAATGTGACAGGTGATGCTATATTAAGTTTGCTCAAAATTAGACGGCATATTTGGTGGTAATAGACATTTATAGTTGTTGTAGTTATCACAATTTTTATATAAAATTGTAGTTATAAAAAATAATCCTAAATAATGGTATATTTGAGAAACATTAATGTTTGTTACTACTATTCAGGATTTTACTTCTAAAACCTGTCGAAGTTCCAAAATATATAACGAAAATACCATCATGAATAATGAATATAGATGATTTTTATTAACTCTTCATTTCTAAATTAAGATCATCTGGAAATAAGTAATTAATAATGATCCATTAATCCAATCTAATGTTCTAGTAAATTAGTCATTTATATGTGAATAATCGATGCACGGATAATTCAAAAACTGTAATAAAAGTTGAACTGATAATGTATTATTCATAAGTGAATAATAAACATGCTGGAAAATATAATATAAAATAAAATAAACCATAGTATAAAAAATATATTGATATAAAAGTATATTTATACAGAATAAAAAAATATAAATTTTGACATATTTGATTTTTCAATAAAAAGTATGTCAACAAAAAAAGAATTGTATACATATTAATGTAGAAATTAGCATAAATTGAAAATTTTGGATAAAAAATTCGATACCCTTTTATGTCTAAAGGACTGTTATAATCTTAACAATGTGATTAAAATCTATAGGGATCATATATGTTTTAGCATTTGTCGATCTATGTATTGTTCTTATGTATTGTTCTCGTTAAAATGTTTACATACGAATGGTATATTTTGTCCATCCCCAGCTGATTTCTTTAAATATAATTTGCTTTGCCGTTCAAAAAAAATAACAATAATAATAAATAAGTGCAAGTGTGCATGACACAAAAATGCATATATACGTCATTTATATATATATATATATATATATATATATATATATATATATATATATATATTTACTTTAAGATTTTTTTTACAAAAACATTTAATTATGAGCGACTTAATGCATGCAAGATAAAAAAGTTCGCGGTAAAATATGGGCTCACAAATGATCATTGATTATATATATATATATATATATGTCATTAATGTCGATCATGTGACACATTTTGGTTTATTGAACAATTTCATTTCTTGAAAAAACAATATTTAACAAAATGACTCCATATAAAAGGTGCATTTTGGTAAATATATTGAAATGGCAATGTTGATTTAGAGCACTCACACTAAAATAGTATTGACATTATGAAATAGTATTTTACAAGGCTTTAAAAAAATCAATAAGTTCTTGAAAATTAAAAGACGATATAATAGAGCCTTTTTTTAAAATCAATTTCTTTTAACGGGGTTAGGAAATTTACAAAATAGTTTTCCAATGATTGTGGTGAGGTTAATATCTTTTCAACCAATTATATAAACAAATCATACAAAGATATACAAACAAAGAAATTAAAAAAAATATATTATTATTATTATAAAAAATATAATAAACTATTTTATTTTAATTTCAACATCTTTCATTAAAAAGATTCCAAAAAAGCTCTTCTGGTATGAATGTTCGTGTAGTCGAAATAGTCAAAACAATGACAATGACCTGAATGCCCAAATGCAAACATGGGTTTAGCTTTCACATTTAATAACTCCAAAAAAATTATTTTCTTTTCCTTTTACTATTTGTTTTTACAAGGTGTTAAGTCCTGATCGATTATCCAAATTGAGAAATGAAACAAACTTCCGTCCTTTTTTGCAATATCGAATTTTAAAATATTATCTGTTTTTTTCCTTGAAATAAATAATTTCAAGCAAGTGTCAATTATTTCTAAAATAGTTTTATTAGTTTAATAATCTTATATGGACCCGTGATTATGATATTAACAACTACACATTATTTATTTAGTAATTGCCCATAGTTTCGGCCATAAGCCTTATAGATTGGTTTCAATTTGGTCGAATAAATATACGTGTATTAGTTAGTCTAATGGCGAGTTTGCAAACAAATCAGACCGTTAGTTTAAATTAGAGATGAGCAAAAACGGGTACCCGCCTATTTTATTGGAAACCGGAACCGCTTCCGGAACCGGTGGTTTTTTAGAAATTTGGAACCGGTCCCGGCACCGGTTCCTAGAAATTTGGAGCCGCTCCCGGAACCGCCAAGACCGGTTCCAGTTCCGGGTACCCGATTTCTTGAATATTTACAATTTTATTTTATAAATAATACATGTTATTGAAATAAACATTTATAAACATTAGGAGGCTAGGAGTACTGTAACACCCATAAAATTCAAGCCAATTTAAAATATTTTATTTCATTTCAAAACCATTAAGTTCATACATCTTGTTTTCAAAATAATTTAAACATCAGAGTATCCCCAGAACCATATCACAAAATCATAAAACATGAGGAGCGGTACGATCACGCCTTCGCCTTGCCACGATCTCCTGAAGTACCTAAAACATAACACTACAACTGTAAGCCCTAAAGCTTAGTGAGTTACCCCCAAAATACCAACCACACAACCATACTCATATCATATCACAATACAGAACAGCCAAGCACATCGAGTCTACAGTGTGATTGGTCCGCCCGCACCGGGCCTTCAATCCACCTGGTCCACCCTCTGAGTCTACAGTATGACTGGTCTGCCCGCACCGGGTCTTCAGTCGGCCTGGTCCACTCTCCGAGCCTCGGCACGTCTGGTCCGCCCTCTTGGGGCCTTCAACCTATCCGGACCGCTCGCTGGGCCTTCGGTCTATCCGGTCCGCCCTGGGTATGTTGGCCTACAGCACAAAGCAGGACCCGCCTCAACCCAACCCCAGTCAAACAACCATGTGCACATAAAACAATTAATCACATAACAAATCCTTAACCAGACAACCAGTCTAACAGATCACATAGCATATCAACATCCTAACCAGGATTCCGACCTATCTTGTCACTAGCATAACATTACCCTATATACCGGGTACCGACCTTAACCAGGTCCCTAACATAACAACACCCTAAATACCAGGATGCAAATCTAGCAAAGCAACAACATAACAACAAAACCCGGATTTCCATCCGATAAAGGGCCGACCTTGGTGCCGTAGACCCTGTCAATATAGTGAGGATAACTCACCTGTAATTGCCGACTAAAGAGATACGACCAAGCTGCTCCGACCACCGACACGAACTTCACCGCAGCACACTACCAAGGAACCAATACCAAAATTACCAAAATACCCTTGGAAGTCAAAGTGGTCAACTCTTGGTCAAAGTCAAAGTCCTCAGTCAAAGTCAACCTTCCTGGTTGACTCTACTCGCCGAGTCAACCCGTCGACTCGTCGAGTTCTCATACTCAGAAACCTCCCATAACACGACTCTACTCGCCGAGTCGCCCCAAGACTCGTCGAGTTCAACGATCTCGGAATCCCATCCTGTCCAACTCACTGAGTCGCCAACCGACTCACTAAACCAAAGCTTTAACCAAAAGAGATTGGGTTCTGCGACCAGACTCGCCGAGTCCAAGAACAGACTCGCCGAGTCCAAGGCAATCTTCAACAGACTCGCCGAGTTGTTCTTCAACTCGTCGAGTCCATGCACATGTTCATACAACTCGTCGAGTACACCCATGTGACTCGCCGAGTCTCTTCAGTTCTCAATCCAAACAGAGGCTTTTCGAGCCATGCAGGGGCTCCAATCCATAGATCCACCCTTCTACAATCTAACCCTCACATAAAGTTGCAAACTTTACGTGGAACCAAGGAGATATAAGCCCAAAACACACTAGGGCTTGGGTTTTAGACAAAAGGGGCTTCACCAACAACTCAATGACTGAACTTTATGACATTCTGGACCAGCTCAAGACTAGATCTGAGGTAGCAACCTCAGATCTATCTTCTAAACCCGAAATAACTCTCAATCAAGCTATGGAAATCCCCATCAACCACCAAGGATGAACCAAAAAGGAAATTAGCATAAGATTATGGGTTCTTACCTCTGAAATGTGCCCAAACAGATGTA